TTTCCCATAACACACAAACTAGAGATAGCCAAATGAAATTAATAGGCAACAGGTTTAAAAAAAAACAAAAGGAAGTACTTCTTCACGTAACACAGAGTCAACCTGTGGAACTCCTTGTCAAAGTATGTTGTGCAGTCTAAGACTATAACTTGGTTCAAAAAAGAACTAGAGACATTAATCAGCAGCTATTATCAGGTCCATCAATGGCTATTAGCAGGATGGACAGAGATGGTCCCTAGCACTTGTTAAGGTTGTGAATGGGCAATAGGGGATAGATCACCTGATGATTACTTGTTCTGCACAGTCCCTCTGACGCACTTGGCATTGGCCACTTTCTGAAGACTATATACCAGGCTAGATGGAACTTTAGTCTGACCCACTATGGCTGTTCTTATGTTTTTATTTTGAAATTGGGATTGGAGGAAGGTAACTTACATTCTCTTGACCTTATGAATTATTGTAAATAGTGTTCATAGAATTACATAATAATTTTGATCCACATTACTTGAATGACCAGTGTGCTTAATTACTATGTCATTAGAGTGCTATAAGAGAGATGGGGGCGGAGGGGGGGGGGAATTGAAATACTTATTTTCTTTCTTTAGGATATGCATAATAAAAAATATTAACATTTATGTGTTGGCATTTTCAGTCCATATCTGAAGTATCTTAATATCCTCAAGTATTCATCAAACATGGAAATACTCACAGTTAAGATGTAGGAATCTTACTCTTTCAGAGAAAATTCAAGTCAGCTTGCATGCTGTTCAGAATCCACTTAAGCTTTCAAAATCGGGGTCATCCCTTAAATTTTGACTTTCTATCTTGATGATAAATTGGGAAATCCTTATTGCTGATATTGAGGGATTCTGGTTTACAGTGTTAATCTACTCATATACTGTATCCAATTTAACTCTTCTCTTTTGTGTGAAGGTGTGGGTGAAAATTTGACAGATCCCTCTGTTATAAAAGCTGGAGAAAAAAGGTAAAATTAATGGGCTTTGTTACAAAAACATTAAATGGTATTTAATCTTTGACTTGGACAAAAGCATGCCAAGCTTATGTACACTTTATTTTCAAGGTCATATGATATGGTGTTTGGTCCAGCCAACCTAGGAGAAGATGCAATCAAAAACTTCAGAGCTAAGCATCACTGTAATTCTTGCTGCAGGAAACTTAAGCTTCCTGGTAGGTGTTTCTATTTTACCCTTACTGTTCATTAAATTCTGTGTTATTGTCACAAACTGAAAATGAAAATAATTAAAGAATATAAGAAATAGTAATGTTAATTCTAGCATTTCCTAACTTGAATCTGCACCATAGTAACATTTTAAAATAAGTTTTAAAAAAAACCTAAAAAACCACATTCTTCAAACATGTATCACTCCATATATCATTTGAATATACCTCATGAGCACAAGTGTGATATTTTTGCTTATGGGTCCTAGAAATCCATTTACCATAGAAAAATGTAGAATTTGGAATTTTTACAGAGACTTGTTTTTTACATTTTGTGAAAAAATAAAAATATATTAACTGTTAACTAAATTTTATTGAAAGTACCGGTGTTGTTTATTTAGTGTGTGTAACTTCCTCTTCTTGTGGTTGATTTTTTTAATATACTTTAAATGTACATAGCTAAGCATATTCCAATCAACTGTTTCCAATATATAGAGATTATTCAATGGTGTATACAGATTCATGTTTTAATGAATCTCAGATTTCACTTCATCTTCTAAAAGTGACTAATTAAAGTTAGAAAAAGATGCCAAAAATTTTTTTTTTAAAGAAACACCTCTTGACAACTGTGTCACTGTGTTTGGCAAGTACAAATTTTATGTTGATGATATCCTGTTTTGTACTGTATGCAGCAAGAGTGTATTTTACATTTGAAGGTAGACAGTTGTAGAACAGATGGAAAGCACTAAAGATAAGTGGAATGAAAACACAGGTTTGAAACAGCATGTCCATAAGCAACAGTAAAGAAATTGTGCTGTGACTGGATCATTGTATTAATTTTATTTTAATAATTGGCACTCAACAAGCTTTAAACTGTTTTAAAACTGTAAATCTACTAGAGAGTTTGTCTGTTTGTTTTTAAAAAGTCCTCCTAAATGGTAAGAACTAGGACCACCAAATTTGGTATGCAGCTTCCTCTTATCATAACTTAAAGCAAGGTCAGGCTTTGGTTGTGCCAGGACAATAAGATGTGCCTGGAATTGGATTGTTTGTCATAAAATACAAAGGGAGGGCTCTGCTAGACAGTTATACTGTATGGCAGCAAGGGGCCAGAGATGGGGACCAGGACAGCTATAACCTCATTGGGGTCAGGGCTGGAGAAAGGGACAGCTATCTTATATTTCAGAGAGTTTTTTGTGTGTGTGTCTGCCCTCTAGATGGGGGCATTCACCCCTCCTTCGGCCGTGCCCACTGCAGCTGCAGCAGCTATGAACAGCTTCTCACTTCCCAAGCTGCTGCGGTGAGAGAGGGCTGGGGTCTCCTTTCTCCCTGGGGCAGCCTGCACGCTGAACCCTTTATCCCCAGACCCACCCCAGAGTAATGATTTAAATCAATAAGAACAAAAGTTATGTGAGTTAAGGACCCAAGCAATGCTGGGCAAATCTTCTAGTATAATGATAAACCCTTTTGTGTTCAACTGATAGCTGTACATATGATGGCTGGGGAAACTCAAGTTCCATTTTGATCAAGGAAAAACATGGATTTTAATTTTTTTTTTTTTTAAACTATAGAATTTGAGAACTAGGATCCTTGGTTATAAAATCTTATCTTCACATTGCACATATGAGGATCCGTCCAAAAATGAGAGAATAAGATTGCAAGAAAATTTCTTCTGCACTCCCTCCTTTTTCCCCCCACTGCAGTGAGGTGAGGCACTTTGTGCCAATCACCACACTGCATGGTAGTCCAAACTCTGAATTCAAATCCTCCCCATCCTTAAATGGACTGATCCCTGTAAAGGATTGGCACAACCAAAGCTGCTTCTATCTAGGAGGGATCCATATCCTGGATAAGTGCTTTATGGGCAAGTTCTTCTCTGCCAGCACCCACAAGAAAGCCAGCATGTGCAGCCACTCATAAAGGGGACCTCAGTTTATATCATGAGTCCAAACATAAGGTCCAAGACTGCAGCTCCTGAAGGAAGGAGTTGTGACATCACTCCTCAAAACACAAAGCCTCTAGGCAGCTGAGCAGAACCAGAGACCCATTACTGACTGAGCTGAGCAAGAAACTTTATAGAAGAATCTACATGACCCCTACAGGGGTTGCCAGTACCAAAAAGGTAGATCAATATTAACTCCTCCATGGGAAGATATTTTGCTCTTCACCATCACTAGGACTGTGTCTATACTGCAAGCCTCTTCCACAAGAGGAAATGCAAATAAAGAGCTCATTTGCATAGGTCGTGCACTCATTTGCATGGCCTCTTCGGGTCCCTTTTGTGCAAGAGGTTTTTGCGCTAAAGGGAGCCATCTACATGGCTCTTTTTTGCGCAAAAACCTCTTGCGCAAAAGGGATCTGAAGAGGAAATGCAAATGAGAGCTCCATTTGCATTTCCTCTTGAGGAAGAGGCATGCAGTATAGACGCAGCCTAACATACTGCTTCTTGCCAGCAGAGAGTATCAATGTGGGAGTGTCACTGGGTGGACCAGTCTCAACCAGATTAGTATCCATATGGCATGCTATTGTGGAAGAAAGCAACGACACTACTGTCACCATTTTGAACTTATTGGAGACCATTCTCCCTTGTTAACATTCAGCTTCACTGGTAAGACCACTTGCACTGAAACCAGATGTGAGCATGCAGGAATAGGAGTCCACAGAGCACAATTCTAGTCTCTTCCCAAGGAATCCTACTTATCATTTGGCAAGGCAGTAACACCAGCACCTGTTCCAGCAGTACACAAATTTAAAATCTTCTAGGACGTCCTGTCCCAAATTGCAAAGACCCTAGACATGAAAACTGTATTTATTCAGCAAAAGTCTCATAAGTTCTTTGATGATCTAAGCATGACACAAGTCAGAATCAATCCCCCTAAAAATGAAAGGACTGTAGGACTATCCAAAGGAATAAGGCAGACAGGTCCTGACCACTCTTCCTCCTGCCCCCAAACATAAAAAATAACTGGTGCTGCAGAAAGATCAAATCCTCCCTAAATGCAGGGCTTTTGATTTGTCTTTGCAGCACAAGAGAAATTGAAGTCCACTTAAGGCAGTCTTAAGAATAAGGACTCTAACATTTAAACTTGTGTTAGTGAAACTTATATTTATCATTCTCATTGCTGCTTTGTGTGGTCAACTACCTAGCACTATTTTGTAAGTATAGTTACCTCATATGGGAAAGCATCACTCTTTCTTTCAAAAATCCCATATAGGAAAAGCATCACTCTTTCTTTCAAAAATCCTGCAGGATGGCAGGGATGAAATGAAAGATATTATCAAAGAGGGGCACTGCATCACTGCAGTCAACCATGGATGCTTTTGATATGGCCACAAAATCAAAGGCTCTGGCCATCATTGAGAAAAATCTCATGGCTTCAGGCATACCATGCAAAGTACAGGCCACAATAGAGGATCTGCCTTTCAAGGGAATGGAGCTCTTCAGCCAAAAAGTAGATGGAAGTGCTCCTTTCCCTCAAGGACACAAGAGGCTATATTAAGATCCCTGGAAATTTACATAGATTTGTACAGGAAGCCTTACAAATATTGATTCCTGGAAGGAAGCAGATGTCCTTTTATTCCTCAGGCTTAGCTGCAGATATTTTGGCTATCGGAACTGCCATGCCATATTCCAACTGCTAGCACAATCAACAAATGCGCATTAAACATGTTCACTCTAGTCTATGCTGTATAGTTTTAACTTACTACTCCCTATCTGTTCTCCTTCTTCAACCCTTCTTAGGGATGCTATTCTTGAGAAACTATTACAAATAGAAATTACCTTACTCTAGAATCTGAAAACCATAGTAGTACTGTGGGATTACATGGGTAAAATGCTTTTACTTCCCATGATTCTGTATCCCAAAGAAGAAAGGGGTGGTTCTCCTGTCTAGCTGAAGAGACTGAGCAAGTATAGCTATTTCTTCAGATTCAGGATGTCAGTGCTTGCCTCTGTCCTTCCGTATCTGAAGTCCCAAGATTGGCTTGTGACTCTCAACTGTGGGGGAGTGGCATTATACGTGAAAGAAAATGTAGAATCAAATGACACAAAAATCTTAAATGAACCAAAATGTTCCATAGAATCTCTATGGGTAGAAACTCCATGCTCTAATAAGACTATAGCAATAGGGATATATTACTGACAACCTGACCAGGATTGTGATAGCGACTGTCACATGCTATGGGAGATTAGAGAGGCTATAAAAATAAAAAACTCAATAGTGGGGGATTTTAATTACTCCCATATTGACTGGGTACACCTCATATCAGGACAGTCCTAAGTGTAGCGCAAGATCTGCTCTAATAGGTAAATATAACTGGACCGCTTGGAAATAGTACCATAATGTAATAAAATTCAACATCCCTGTGGTAGGAAAAAGACCACAGCAGCCCAACACTCTGGCATTAAATTTCAGAAAGGGGGGGGTCTGTCTAACCTCCTCACTTTTGTGTAAACAGAAATTAAAAGATATGGTGCCAAAAGTAAAATCTCTGCAAGCTACATGGAAACTTTTCAAAGACACTATAATAGAGGCCCAACTTAAATGTATGCCCCAAATTAAAAAACATAGTAAGAGAATCAAAAAAAAAGTGTTTAGCAACCAAGTAAAAGAAGCAGAGAGAGATTAAAAAAAGACATCTTTTAAAAAGTGGAAGTTAAATCCTAGTGAGGAAAATAGGAGCATAAACTCTGTCAAATTAAGTGTAAAAATACAAGTAATAGTAAAATGTTTATTAAGTAGAAGCAGGAAGCCCGCTAAACAACCAATGGGCCACTGGACGATTGAAATGCTAAAGGAGCACTCAAAGACTATAAGGATTTTATTACAGTCCCCAAAATAATAACGACGACAGATGTTGGCAAAAGATGCCCTCCAACCTTTTCCAGATTTCTGCCGTGTTTGAGGTCTGCTGTGATGTTTTCAGCCTTGGTGTGATTGCTCTCTGTGGGCAAAATTTTGTTGCCAAAACAAAATTTTCTTTCAAGAGAAGCTGTTTTTTCTCTAGGGTGGTATCACATGGTCCCAAACTTGGGTTACTAACAGAACCCCATCAGAGCACGAAGCATAGCAAATATCAGAGCAATCCAAGCTTGTTTTTCCCCCGAAAGAGAGCACCCAGTCAGTCTGAATGCTGTCTTTGAAAAAAGCACAATTTGCATTACATAGCGCCTTTTTTCGAAAGATCACTTTCGAAAAAAGGTTATTCCTCGTGAAATGAGGTTTTCCATGGTTGCAAAAACTGCTGTGTTTTTTTGATTTACTTTCGAAAGAACGCAGCAGCAGTCTAGATACGGGAAGTTTTTTCGAAAAAACCCTGTAGTCTAGACACACCCAGAGTCAAGCTAGAAACAGAAAAAGTGCTCTTAACCTTAATGATGGCTAGTGCTCTGCTATAATATAATGGGTTCCAAAGAGAAACAAAGTGAAAGGTTCTGAAAAATGACTTTAATACTGTGTTTGCTTAATATAGCCTAAGTAATTAATCCAATTTTAAACTCCCTTTTTTACATTGATGATGTGGCGGGAGACTTTTTAAGCACATGCATCTTTAAATGTGTTTTAAAGATGTAATGGCCCTTTGATTTTACCAATCCAAGAAATTTTAACATTCATTTTGTTTTTCTTTTCTTTTGTCAATTATAGATCTGAAGAGAAATGACTATACTCCTGACAAAATTATATTTCCTCAGGATGATTCTCCAGAATTGACAATTCAACCTGGAAGCTGTACCAAAGAATCAGAATCAACTAGTTCTATTCGTTTAATGCTGTAATCCCATGAGCAAACATTGGCTTTACCCAAACTTGACACAATGTCACTAAGTTATAGATTATCTGTCTTCCACTAAAATTAGAAGAAAAGAGAGATCAAAACAAAGAACCAAGTGTTAAGTGGAATTTTAATGTCTGGTCCATAATCGAATGACCTAACATGTGGTAACCATCTACAGAGAAGAGCTGGCAGCTGATTATTTTAAAGATTGAATATTTATGGAATGTTTTTAAAGGGTCTTTTTTAGGAGAAGGTTCTTTTTAGTTTTGCTTTCGTCCATTGGAGGTTTGTTTAATCCTCTAAATCTGTGGTAGTGCAATAGGTTTTTGACTAAAAGGATTTTGTTTTTGTTTTTTGTTTTAAGGCAAAGTGTCTGTTTGGCAGCTGGTTTACTGTCAGCCAGCTAGAGAGATGGGAGACCGCATCTGTGATTGTCAGAGGTTTCCCTGGGCATTGTCCGAAGTGTCCCATCTCATTAGATGCAATGTATTGTTCTGGCCTTTCGAAGGGAACGGATCCAAAGGATCTGTGTGTTATGGTGCCAGTATGCTGAGGCTGAAGGCAGAAATGGATCTATTCCAATAAGGAGTTTGTCTCCTGAATCAGGATTCAGCTTCATAGGTGTGTTTTTATGGAATAGAGCCTTAATTGTGAAATAAAATTTCCTGTTTTTATACATTTCAGTTTTATCAAGTCACTGTCGATAGTAAATAATACCAGGATTGACTGGTATAATTACATTATATAGTAGAGAAGAGTATGTACTGGTCCAAACAAGAAGTTGCCTTGTTTTAAAAAGAAAAAGTTGGAAGTGCTTTTTCTTGTAATGACTGCTTCTGAAGTTATGCCTTCCAAAAATCTCATAAAACAGAATATAAAAGCAGAATGTACACATGAACTTTTAATGTATTTAAAATGTATAGAAACATCTTTAATGTTATGTTATTTGTGGTACTTATTTAAAAAGAGACTAGGTTTGGATTAGCATTATGTAAAGTTCGGGAGATTGCAATGCAACTTTATGCCAATAAAATGTAATTTAATTGTCCTAATCTTGTTGAGTATTCAACAAGAAAAAACTTGTCCAACTGAAGTTTCATGCTGCGATTTTTATTTTGTTTGTTACATAGGTACTAATTTGTAATTTTTAATTGAAGGGCAGTATAAAGCTCTATAAATTTTTTTTATTCAGTAGTGTATCTTATAGATACAGACCTAAGGCACGAACACAATAGCTGTTTAAATCGTGTTTTATGTTGACTGGGGAAAGGTAAAGTGTATTAAAGATATAATACTGTATACATTTTGTATATCATTAAATCTTTAAATCTGAAATAAATTTATTCTTTAGACTTCTGCTGTCCTTATCTGAAATGGATGTCTTAAGTTTTCTTTGGGTGAATATGAATTTTATTCAAGATCATAGAAATTGCCATATTAGATCAGGCTAGTGATCCATCTATTAGGGGTAGCCTTCTTAAAAGGTGGCTAATATCAGAGGAAAGTGTAAAAACTCCCCTATTGGACAATTATGCAATAACATAAATGAATAAACATGAATATACAATTTTTGAGCTACTTAAATTGTTTATTTAGAAATGAGAGCACATTATTTAATTTGAGTTAAATGAATATAAAATTATGGGGTAGCTTGAGTAGTAAAGTGTGGTTACATTCCTGTCTTATTGCTGGAAGACATGAGGTTTTTTTATATGTAAATCCAGTCCTTCAACTTTAATTCCTGTATCATTATATTTTTAGCTAAATAAAACAAACATTTAATAAACCAGATAAGAATGTTTTCAGAGTTCAGTGGGAATATCTACCACAGGAAATTCTTCAGGGATACAATCAAGGACTGGAAGGACATATACTAGAAGCAAGATTATATAAAAATAATCAGTTACTACAGGAAAAAATGTAATAGAACGTTGGGTGAGTGAGGGTAGGTGTATCTGTATATACAGGGCTCAAGAAACCGCAGCGAAATCCATTCACCAGCCCCGCACCGCACATGCCAGACCTGCACTGCGCATGTGCGCACCACCAGTGAACGGGGTGACCAGCTGAAATCATCTCACCACGGGCAAGTAGGTAAACTGATTTGTTGAGCCCTGCAAATATATATATCTATACACATTCACAAAATTTGTGAGCTAAGAGAGTTAGACACAAACATTTGTCAACGTGGAAGTTTTATTCTTGCCATCTTAACTAGTGTGTTGCCTGTGAATTTATTTTTTAAAACCCATTTTTGAACCCTGGAAGTGTGACAGTAGACAGCCACTACAATATGGAGCAGAGAAAGCATTAGGACTGGGAATCCTGCAGAGCTTGCAAATCATGTGCAGGACTTGGAATTCCATGCAGGAGTTTGAGTATTTAGCTGTGGATGAATTAACCCTTTCTACCATTGCCAACTTGAAGACGAATTTGTGCCATAAGTAGGGCCCTACCAAATTCATGGTCTATTTTGGTCAATTTCACAGATGTATGACATGTATGATTTTTAAAATCCTTATTTCAGCTATTTAAATATGAAATTTCATTGTGTTGTAAATGAAGGGGTCCTGACCCAAAAAGGGGTTGTAGGGGGTAAGGGGTGTCACAGGGTTACGGCAGGGGAGGTTGCAGTACTGCTAGACTTATGTCTGCACTGTTGCACTAAGATTTACAGGTTTTAGTACCAGATAAAAAAGAAAAATAATTCCAGAAGAAAATCTCAATTTCAGAAATAGTCCTTTTGGTGCTAATTCTCCTTAAAAGCACCCACAACAAGAAGTGCAACTGTTTGCCAAGCTGTTTGAGAGGTGGTAAAAAAAAAAACAGGACTTTATCAAAAGTCTTTAATTTTTAAAACTCTTACATGCCAAATGTATTGTCCCACTATCCTCACATTTTCTAACATCATTTTCCCAGTTGGAACATGCATAATATTCCATGCTAATTGGTTTGGTTTTGGCTAAATGTAAAGGGGGCAGGGATCAAGATCATAATTTAGGGAAATGATTAAGTTTAAATGAGAGTGTATAAAGATTGCTCCTAAGTATTTTCAACATCCTTTCCCTATCCCAGAAAACAGATTCACAATTCACCCTAGTTGGTGCCTTTGCCTCAGGTTTCAGACCACTGCTTTAAACTGTCCACTTCATACTTTAAAATATGTAGGAGCAATAGACACAATACCAAAAGTGCATATTTCCAACTAATTTCTACATTTCTGGAAACTAAAAATTAATATATTCCAATAATTCAAGAAAACTGTACTGTACCCTATGAAAACGAATTGCAATTAATTGATTTTGGTGTGTTCTGAAACAATTTTTAAAAGTTATGCATTCTTATATTTAAACTTTTCCTTTTCCTTTATTATGAAAATATGGAATCATGAATTGATCATACTTGAAAGGAGTATTTGTTGTTGACTTTACATAATTAAATATTTTCCACAGAGTACATTCTTTAACACATTCAGCTAGGTTATCCAATATTTTTCCCTTTTTATTAACCCCCCCACCCTCCCCAAAAACTAATTGACTCATCTGCATAACATGTGATCATAAAATGACTCGACATTTTCTTGGTTGTTGATTCAACTTCCTCTAAGATTACTTCCTCAATCAATCACTTCCATCCAGAACTTTTTAATGTTCTTAATGTGTTTCATTTTAAATTAACAATCAGCTAAATGCAACAGACTGTATTAAAGACTTTCCCCTTGCAGTATTTAGGTGCTGATGTATGTCAGAGCTAAACAATCTAACTGCACTGTCACAAAAGTACATAAAAGGTGAGTCCACTGAGAGGGCTGGTTCCCTAGCTACCAATGAGCAACCATGTGACCTGGAAAAGGAGCGGCACTTGTTTTTCAGCCTGTGACTGCACTTCACAACTACCCAGTTTTTCTGGTTGCTTCTAAATCAGTGCCACACAATTTATAACCGCAAGAGGAAAGGGGATTTTTAACAGAAAGCATGGGCGTAACAGTGCATGTTGAATACTGGTAAGAGATTAATTTGATTTTTAAAATGTATTGTTCGAATGACACTTCTGAAAAGGCTTCTTGATATTATGCAACTATTTCTATAATGAATGCACCTTTTTATGAATTATTTGTGGGGAGGGGACAGTCTGTTTCAGCATAGAGGTGGACTCGTCGCACCCATGTTCTACAGTCTACCTAGAGGTTATTAATTTACATCTGGCCCTTAGTCTGGAGTCTATAAAAATGGGGTTAAACTTATAGCATTAATTTGTATGTTGGCACTATGCATTTTAGGATCTCCGATTAGTATCAGACAATGAGGATTTTAATCTATCAATATACAAAAAAAGGTTTGTTATCCAGCACCTTTCCAACTGGAAAGCTATTAAACCAGCATTTTGGATCTTCAGGAGGGTCCAGTTGGCATGGGACCACCTGGCTCTACGTAGTGCCCCAGAAACAGACACATGCCCCTGCTGCTCCTAGGCAGAGGAGTGGCCACAACGGCTCCATGCACTGCCTGTCCCTGAGTGCTGGCTCTGTAGTTTGCTATTGGCTGAGAACTGCACCTCTGCCTAGGAGAAGGGACATATTGCTGCTTCCAAGGACCTGTCTGAGGTTAGCATTGCTCAGATCTGGCATTTCAAAACTCCTCATGTGCCCCAATCATCTGCCTTGAGCAGCCTCCCACATCCAAACTTCATCCTTCTTAAACGGGACTTTTTTATTCACCAGCACCCCCATTTCCTAAACATGCTGGATAATAAAGGTTATGGTATATTAATTATATGCAGCAGATCATTGAGAAGAATGTAAAACAGACTTCTTCTAGTTTGTACAAGGAACAAAATATTTGAAAGCTTTTAATTTGCAGTAATTTTCATTATCATTAATTTCTGCTTCCCCTCCTATGCCTTGTTTTTAGGGCTGCCATGAGTCATTGTGCGATTACATTGTTATTCACACTGTAATTGACTTTATAAACAAGGGCTATACATTTTTCGTGGCATGCGGAAGCTGAATAAAACATGTCACTTTGTGCATATCTTCAGAATTGCACTATAATGTTGCATCCTTGGTTGATCTAAATTTAGAAGTCAGGAAATTCTGAGTTTAAAGCCCACTCTGCCCCTTACTCCCAAATCACTTCAACTTTTTCTTTCCCTCAGTTTCCCTGTTTGTACAGTACTCACTTATTTCAACAGGAGTGCTCTGAGGATAAATTAGAGTTGGTAGAGAAAACATTTGTTAACAGATTTGTTAATGCTTATTATATTTAAGGTGCATCCTAAATGGTTTTAAAAAAAAAACACCTTGCCTTTTTCCTTTTTCTTCCCTCTGCCCATTTTGTATATTGTCCTTGTTCTTGTCTATCTCCTGTTAATCCTGCCTATGTAACTCTTTTCTTGCATGCTTTGGGAGAACCTCTTGAACTTCAGAAAAGGACTTCTCTAAATTAGTGTGCATTTTGTGTGGCACTTACACAGTAATCCTAACCAGTATAGTTTTAGGCTCTCCTGGAATTCTGCCTAAGAAATTGTAGTAGGAGCAACAGCATTTCTATATTCATCTCTTTGCCTGTTAGGTTAGAATCACAAAAATTTTAGAAAACGGAATCCAGGAATGACTCTTGAATTGGAGTAGGCAATCAGAAACCCCCTTAATCTGGGCACTACAAAAGAAGGCTAACGTGCAAATTCGAAAAGACCAGTTTGGAAACATAGCTAAGAGATCCTTCCTTTACAAAGCAATCTGTTTCCAAGAAACCTGGTCAATGTGTTAAAATACAAATTCATAGTGAAGAAAATAATTTACACCCACACTTTCTAAAACTGAAATAAAATCCTATGGGAGGTGAACTTATAGGCAGTTTTAAGAGGTATCTGAGGCTGTATTAGTTTGTAAATTAGCACACAATAACAATATTGGAAAAATAAAAGAACCTTCAGTTACAGATTACAAGATAAATTTACAAGTTTGCAATCACTTGTGCACGTTTACAAAATTGTGTCCCTGATCAGCATTAGAAATCCCCAGATCAGTTTAATGGCACAGCAGCATTGCTGATCCTAGTGTGTGACTGGCCCTAGATACATCCTCATCGTAAGAAAAGCCTTGGGTGACATTCTGGCCCCGTTGAAATTCATTCAAGTTTTGCCACGGTCTTCAATTGGGTCACGTTTTCACTTCATACATTTACGCTAGAAATTCCAATATAACTATATATACTTAATCCATAATTGCCACCCTAAAGCTAATTAGCAATTTATACATGCTAAATCTTTTTTTGTCTCTTTGATTTTATAGCTCAGGATGAGGGTATGCAGCCCGTTATCAGGAGCTTGCCAAGAAAATCAAGGAGCAAGTTCCTGATGCGGAGATCTCTGACGAAGTGGGCAGGAAAGGTAAGGAATAGCTGTAATATATGGGTTTTCTTAATACTAATTGCTACTAAACTTTGTGGAAAATGCATAAGCATGATCGCCAATTAGAATTTGTTATACTGTAAATTAAGGAAGTCTTGATCTTGTCCTTTGCTGATGCAGCATTATGGCATAAACATCATTAGCGTGTTAACACATAAGAGATGCTAAAGATAATGTTGAAAAAGTATTAGTTGTATAAAAGATGGGGGCCAACCCAGTGTTCAGATCAGGGGTGGGCATAAAGGCCTCTGTAGGCTGGATTTAGCCCACCAAGCAAGTTGATCCGCCCCACAGAAGCCCTGCTGCTCCCCTAGGGTTACCAGGTGGCTTAAAAAAAATACTGGACACACTTGATCTCAGATGGGTGGGAGAGTGGGGCTGGGCGGGAGGATGTGGGGGGCGGGGGACTGGCTGGCGGGAAGCAGGGCTGGCCGGGAGGGGGTTGAGGGAAGCAGGGCTGGCCAGAGGGGAGCCGGGTGGCGGGGGGCGTGGCTGGCCCAGGCGCATACAGCCAGGGAGTGGGGGGAGAGAATCGGCTGGCGGGGAGCGGGACTGACCCAGGCGCATACGGATCCCGGGGCTCTGCCTGTCCCACGCACGTTCCCGGTGAAGCCTGAGCGAGTCCATCCCCGGGGATTCCCTCCCACTCCCTTCCGCTCACCCTCGTGTAGTTGCATACTGCCTGGCTGGTAGACACACTCACGCAGCATGAGCGTGTCTACCAGCCAGGTAGTATGCAACTACGTACTGATACTCCTAATAATAATAAAACTTACCTAATTAGAAAATACCAGACATTTTATGTGTCCGGTATTTTCTTAATTTTTTTCCCGGACAGAACCCTCAAATACCGGACTATCTGGTTCAAAACCGTACACCTGGCAACTGTTCCTTGAAAGATGGAGGCAGGGTGGGAGGAGACTTTGCGCTCCCCCCATCCCCAGGCCAATCAGGGCTTGGGCTGGGGGGAGGGGCTCAGCACTTGGTCAACCACTAGCTGCTGCGAACCTGGCAGTTGATTCTAAGCACAGTGCTCCCTTGCAGGCCGGGGGCAGGGAGCGAGAGACTTGCCCTGATTGACTTGGGAGCAGCATGCAAAGTCTCCTTCCACTGCCAGGGACACAGGTACCTAGAGGAAACCGCCAGCTGTTCAGAACAGCTAGCGGGTCTCTCTGGGGTGGCAAAGACTTTGCGCTCTTCCCCACCCCAAGACCAATCAGGATCTGGGTGGGGAAGCATGAAGTATCCTGGCCCCGCCCCTTCTGCCTGAGGTCCCACCCCTTCCAAGATGGCCCAGGGCCACTTCAGAGATTTCTGAAGTAGCCCCCAGTCAAAAATTATTGCCCACTCCTGGTTCAGATTCACATGCAAAAGCTGAATTTCCCCAATACTTTGGGCAGGGTGGTAGAGTTTCAATTGAGGTAGACCATTATTAATTAGAAAAGGGCCCGATAAATATTGATAAATATTAGAGTATCACCTGAAAGTCTTTCTCTTGCAGGAAGCTTTGAAGTCAAGATCAATGGCAAGCTGGTATTTTCTAAGATCGAAACTTCTGGCTTTCCTTTTGCAGAAGACGTAAGTTCTAAATGTTGCTGTTTGTCTGAGAACATAGTACACAGTCAGCAAACATGTCTGCGCATCACCACACAGCAGGGCAGCAGCTTCACTGACCCACTGCCAAAAAAAAAATAGTCACAGATAAAGGGGGACAGCCTCAACTGAGGGTAGAAGCTAGAAGGTTTAGTCATATTCCTGCATGGTTATCAGTCCCCTTTAATGAATGGCAGCTCACGCTCTGTAGCACTGTTTCCATTGGTAAATTCCAGGGCTTTTGCTAAGTATTGGAGTCCATCCATAAAAGATGTTACCAGGCAGAAGCGGGACTTTTCCTGTTCCACTCTCCTGCTGCAGCTGAGTGGCCAATCTCCTTAAATCAGATGTTACAGGCTGCTTTCTCCTTCCCATGGGCAGAGTTTCCCTCCTTCCTCAGGCAGCGTTTGGTAGCTGCTACTTTAGCTTCCACTATAGCCTGTGCAAAGCCTCCTTTTCAGTGTCAGTTACACCAGGGGCTTATCTCACTGTCATTCCCACCCCTACCAGTAGCATTCAGTTGAGCAGCTAGCTCCCCTTGTCCTCGGCCAACCCCAATAGGTAACTACTTCTAATATGCGCGCATCACAAAACACTCTGTACACCTTAGTCCTGGGCTAAAGAGAAAAGAATGTTTAAGGCGACATTTAAAAAATAGACCTGCTACTTAGCACTTCATGCATTAAGCTGCCAAACTTGTGACACTGAGCCATTACAGTCAGGAGAAAGGAAAGCAGATGAGGACAGCTAAGCCCAATGGCAGGTGTGTCCTTGTAGGCAGGTGGAATAGATAGTAATGGCAGGGAAAAGGGGATGGAAGCCAGATGAAGAGCAATGTTTTATATTTTTGAACAATTCACAGATCTTAATTCCAAAGGAAATACAGTAATTTGAGCAGAGTGTAGTCTAATTTATTGGACTCAGAGCAGTTCATTGACCCCTCCCTGCCTGACAACTTGGGGCCTGTACGCCCCATCACTAAAACTATAGCAGCTTGGATTCTGATGTATTACTATCTTGGTTTGGTTTTAGATTGTGGAAGCAGTCAAAAAAACGAAGGATGGAGGAAGTTGTGAGAAAATCATCAGGAACAAAAAAATTTGCACCCTTCTGTAGAAGGAACCACAGAATTTAATGGCACCTGCATTCCAAGTGGGAACAGATTCTTTTAATGATTGTTTTTGTCAAAAAGATGATAAAATCAGGAAAAAAAACAAGAAACTGTTCTCTGGGGTGCAGTGTTCAAGTGTCTTACTGAACTACAATAAAGTGAAATAATTTAAAATTCTTTGCAATTTAATTTCCACCTTAATGTTTGTGTACCTCAATTTCTGCTTGAATTCCAATATTATGTATCCTATTCCTATGCTGTGTACTGTAGTTTTATTTTAGTGGACTTAATTTGCAAGTTGACCAAGAGGATAATCACAGGTATGGGAGAAACAGATCAACTGAAGTGTGGCTGTCACTAAGGGGGGATGGCTCCACCATAAAATCTCTGAACAGAGACACTCCAAGTCTGAGCTCAACTTAAATCGTAACACTACAGGCAATTAGGGTGTGAGAGCAGTCAGGCGTGTTGCAAGTTGGCTATCTAATGAACCCTGCACTATAGTATGTTTGCATAGAAAGGAATAAGTTCTAAGAGCTATTATGCAACAGATTTTTCCATTTACAGATAAGGGAAGGTTTTTTTAAAATCTCTCTTCCTGAAGTGAAAGTCCAATGCTGTTAGTTTTACAAGTTCATACATCATTAGTCCTAAATGAAATGTCTCATTTCCAAAAGCTGAGCCAGCAGATGGGACATGAAGTTTGAAAAGCCAATTCGGGACTCAGAAGTGTTAAATTATTCACAGCAGGGTCACCAGATACTGTGAACAACTGGATAACTGCATAATTTAGTCAAACGTAATTGTAAAGAAAACTTACCCAATTCTTCTGATTCATTTACAACTGGCAGCAGAACAATTCAGAGTATTTATATAGCGCATAACTCCAAAGAATAGATTTTCTAGGAATACTTAATAAGAAATCCACAAAATGTAGTTAAAACAGCCATCTGTTCATGCGTTGGCTATGTAGACTATCACATTACAGCAGGCCTACTCATCTTTGGAAGCCCCGGGGGCCACAATGATACAGCACATGCCGAGGGCTGCAACTTAAGTATGGTTGCATATACATGCAAATATATGCAAATAGCTTCTTTCACACTGACTGGCATGAATACAAAGATTAAGCCTTAAGCCACGGCAGACCCAAACGTGGCCAGTGTGAGCCAGTCAGCACCTCTCGGACTCTGCCCACAAGGCTAAGCAGCCAGAACTACCCGCAATGCCCCAGCTCTCCCAGCACCTCCTCTGTGGGGACTAGAAATGCAGACACAAAGTACCCGTCTGTTCCAGGCAGCCCATCCACTTGTGTCTTTCAAAGCTCACCTTGGCAAGGCATCTCCCAGGCGTTGTGGAGCATGTTCCCAGTGGAGGCCATGTTCAAAGGATCCCATCTGTGGGCCACGAGGTGAGCCCCGCGTAAACCCAAACCGCACTGCAGGCTGCAAAGAAATGGGCTGCAGGCCGCATGCGGCCCATGGGCCACGTGTTGAGTAGCCCTGCATTACAACAAGCTGAACCAGAATTCTGTGGCAAGGCTTCTGGATTCTGTAGCTTTCTGGTGTGGCAGACTCAAAATTATGCAGCAGCTTCAGATAAATGTTTAAAGTAGTTGAATGTGAAAAATAGAGTAGGATCATTAGCTCCTTCATCCTGATATTGAATTCAATTTAGTTCTATGCTTTTCCCTGCCCTTCTCATATCATGCAGATTTGTATCCTGAAAATTCAGATTTGTATCATGTAAGCCAGAGGGAACAAGCTGTATATTTTGGCAACTGGGAAGGGACATGTTGGGTCTTTTGAAGAGGCAGTTTGAAATTGTGTAATAAGCGTATTAGATGGATGTTCTTGTGAAGATGAAAGCTGATTAGCAGTGAGTTGTGTTCATATGTAAATTGTCAGCATTGCATTAAACCATTAAGATGAATGAGGAATTTCACACCTCTTGGCGCTTTTGCTTCCAACTACTTGCAAGCTTAGGACAGCATTTGCCTCAGCGATACTTTATTTTTTTCAGTAGTTTCTTCACAACTTTGAGGGCTGCAACTTCATTGTAGTAGAACCTTACATTCTGAAGCACAGGACTGGCTGAGACTGTGGCAAATAGTGCAGTTACAAAATCCTAGAAAAGATGGGGCTCTGTATATAACTTAAGGGAAAGCCTGCCCTCTTTTACGATAGACATTAGAGGTGTTCTGTATTTTACCAGACAAATAAGTAAAGGACACAGAAATGAACAAATGAGTTCTATTAATCTAGTTTCAGGAGGGACACAGAAATGAACATACGAGTTCTATTAATCTAGTTTCAGGAGCAGCAGCAATGAATACTGCCACAGACGTTTGCAATCGAAGTTCCTGGATGAGCACTGGCTGGCCAGGGCATTATATTCCCTCTCTGTTAGAAAGTTGCCCAGCTCAGATAATTGCAGAGTACATATATCCTCCCTTTTTGCTTATCCTGTGCAAACCATATACTAACATGAAATTTTTTATTGAGGCATTCTGGATTCAGGAATCTTACAAGGTTGCTCTTCCATAAATGGCTGCTCTTGAGTTGTCTAGCAGTAAGGCATTGAGTCATCTGATGCATCGTTCCTCCGGTTCCCCAGCACAATTGCTTTTTAGTCTTGTACTATTGAATTGGCACTTCAGGGGCATTGGTAAATGTGTGCTGAAAAAGTCTAATATTTTTGCAGTGTGCTGTGACATTCATATGGGACTGATTGGTGCGTTTGCTTAAAGATATAGAAATCGTTGGGTGATGAAGCAGGAAATGTAACTTGACACCACCATCGGTCTGACTTTCAAAATAAAATCCAGTCTTGTGAAATTCAGGAAACCTGCTCTAGTGTGTAGAAATCAAAATAGAATTTTTTGTAACAAAGAACAAGCTTGCATAAACGGCTGCTTGAAACTGCACTCAGACTTCTCCCTACAAAGGAAGGTTTTAGGCTGTTAAAGGGTTTAGGCTGTTAAACATTAAATCTTGAAACTTGAAAACCATATCTGTAAATTAACTTAACGAATCAACTTTATGGTATATTCTCTGCCTTCAAACTAATCTCACAACCAATTGCAATATTGTTTTACCAATCCAAGATAGGGTATCATTTTTCATGTGCTGTTTTGACATAAGGGCCTAGTACATTTTTTCAAATTTCAAAATAATTATTTTCAGGTCAGATAATTAGGGATATCTTCCATTGCTGCTTTTGTGTTTAAAATGAAACTAAAACAACAGCAACAACAAAAACGTACCAGCACTCTGAAGGGGACTATGATTTTGGGGGTGGGGTGGGTGAATAGGCCCACTGTTAGGGTTGGTTTTCAAATTCGTTACAGTTTCTGTATGAACAGCTACATAACCCAGTAAAGTGATGACTTTCATGTCATTCTTTGTGGTGGACAGGGCTGGATTAAGGGGGGGGGGGCTAGTCAGGCAGCTGCCTGAGGTGCCAACCTATGGGGGGGTGCCTGATGGCAGCTGTAAGGGGAACCGCGTGCCCGGGACAGGGCCAGACTAAGGGGTGGGCTAGCTGGGCAGCTGCCTGGGGCACCAACCTATGGGGGGCGCCTAATGGCAGCTGTAAGGGGTGCCGTGTACCCAGGGTCGGGGGCTGCGCGGTACCCCTTAGAGCTGCAATCAGGCGTCGCATGCCCGATTGAAGCTGTAAGGTGCGCAGCGTGCCTGAGGGGAGGGGCCGTGCATGCGCCTGGGGGTGGAGCCGCACATGTGTT